TTAGGAATTTCTTGGAAGATAATTTCACAGGACTAAGATTAATGATTGTAAGCACCAGTTATAAAAGCAGATTTAAAAGAAAATAGAGAAATCTTTCCCACACCTAATTCAAGGAGGTCTATATTAGAATATTATATTTGAACTTGCCAATTCATTATACATCAGTAAAGATTTTTTTTGTCCTCAAGTTCTTTTCTTCATTTCCTTTTTCTTTATACAGCTAAATCAGCAGGGATAAATGTCTAAAGACAAAATTATCTGACATCAAACAAATATTGACATGACTCTAAAGGTCAGTTGCTGCAAGGCCAGGATTTAAAAAGAAATTAAATTTGATGTATACTGTCTTAAAGGTCAATAGGAAAGGTATATGCTGCACCCATTTTATAATGCTGCCCCAGGGAACCAAACACATTCAGCGTTGTGAGGGACACTGAAATAATGAAGACAATTATGGTAATGAGTACGTAGGTAATAGGGTTTAATTAGATCAGAGCAACCATATTATTTAGAGAAAAAGAAATCATGGTGTATTAAATCAAAAGTGAATTACAGCAACTCAAGTCAATAGTTACTTTAAGCTCACAGGTAACATGTCTGCTGTGTCTTTAAAGGAGCTGAGACATTGCAGGGAAAGTACTGTAAAGTGTTTCATTTTCCTCCAGCCGCAGCTCAGTGTCACTGCACACAAGGTCCTATCTCTCCTAGAATATGGTCCTTCTGAGGGAGGCTGGATGCTTCATTTCTTAATCTTACCTTCTGATCTCAGCAACAAATAATAAGCAAGTTACCACCGCTTCTGAGGAAGAAGGGCTGAAAGATGAGGAGATGAAGGGCTGAAAAGCTCAGTGCTGAGGATGGGCAGAGTGGGGATGAGCTGGTGCACTGTGCTGACACACAGCTTTGGTGTGGGGAAAGGCACTGCCCCTCTTGCCTTGGCCAGCAGCCTTGCAACATTGTTGGTCTGTTTTATTTTTCATTTTGCTGAATTATTCCAGTTTAAAATGTTTGCAAAATGACTGCCTTGAAACACAAGTCTGATCACCAGCCAACATGTAATCCACAGTACTACTGCTCTGTCCAGCGACACAGCCCCAAAAGGCAAATGCAAAAGGAGAGATGTGGGGACAGATTCTCCAGGATACAACATGGATAACAAATTACTTTAGAAGGATTCTGATGTATTAGCATTTTATGGACTTTCACAAAAGTGAGGCTGGCTTTGCAAGATACATGGCAGTACAAGGAGTCAAACCGGATTGAAAAACAGCTCATGCTGGAGGGAATGCCTTTGATGGGCAAACCCCAGCCAGGACTGGCCTCGCTGCATCGCTTAGCTTGCAGCAGCGACCTTCCCTCCCGCTCCCGCTAGCCCTCGCCTGCCGCTCCGCAGGCGGCTCGCCCCAGGGCTGCAGCGTTCCTATGGCCCTGCAAGCTCACGGCGGCACGAAAACCCCAGTGAGGCAACGCAGGGGGAACTCGCGGGGCCTGGTCCTGCTCTCCCATCTAGGCAGGCCGTGGCCTCCAAACAAGAGCGTGACAGGGCAACTTGTAGGTTATAGTTCTCTGCCAGGCCATAAGGAACGGAGATACCCTCACGCAATTCAGAGAGGGGCGTTCTCCCTCCTCTGAAATCCACCAAAAACACATTCAAAATGTAATTGCTTAAAAGCCATTTAAGTGAGACTAAATGAAATCTTAGCACCAGCATCTGCCTGCCACTTTGTGTGTGTTTCGTTTTTCTATCGTTTTCCTGCTTTCACTTGTGTTTACTTAAATAAAGCTGCCCGTTCAAATGGGAGGATGTGTGTATGGAGACTTTCCTTAAGCAGCTTCACTTATTGCTAAAGTAGATTGGACAACAAGAATTAATTTTTTGAAGAGATTGTAAGATTTGTTTGCATTTGATGCTATAGCGTTTATTTTCATTGTGTTCTTGCATTCATGGAGGCCAAAATCAGACCGAAATGGTCACAACCAGAATAAAGTAACAGTAACGACACTGATTAGCTAAAGTGAAAATGAGACAAAACGCTCTAAGGTCTTGTGTGACGGTAAAAGGTCGCATTTTCCAGCGGGTCTGTCCGTCCTTCCCGGCGCTAACCACAGCGCCCTGC